GAGACTGAGCTGCCAGTTGTACCGTGCGTAATGACGGGTACTCGTCCTTCCTGAGCTAAACCACTCGGCCGAGCAGCGGGCCTGCACTCCCACTGCCTGTGGTCTCCACTGGGAAGTCTGGGGAGAGTTCCTGGTTCTTCCCGAGTTAGTTGGCTCGAGCCGCCAGAATAAAGTACCCAAACTCGGTGTCTGAAACAAGAAAAATGTAGTCTCCCGGAGGCCGCGATCTTGCCTCCTTCCACAGGCTGTGAGGGAGAGTGGGTCCCGCACCTCCCTCCCGGCCCTCACGGTTGAGGGCACTCTTTGGCGTCCCTTGGCTTGCAAAAGCATTACCCCCAAATCTGCCTTCATCTTCATGTGGTGGTCTCTGTGTGTATGAAAGTTCTTTTTTCAAGGATAATGGTCATAGTGCAGGCCCCATACTAATAACATCACTTTACCTCTAGAAGGACCTTATTAGGGTCACATTTGGAAGTACTGGAACTTTTCTGGGGGAACACAATTCAACCTGTGACACCTCCCCAACGTTCTCCCCTCCCCACATTCTACTGCTGGTAAATGGAATCCTCCCATCCCAGGTCTCTCACGCCAGCCCCATACCAGCTGGTACCGTGGTCCAGAACTGTGAGGATAGAACCTACAATATCAAAGATGCGCCAGCCAAGGAGCTGGTCACCCCATTCACCCCTGGAAGAGGTGGGGAGAGGCCCCAGGTCTATAATCAGGGGTGGGGGCTATGGGAAGACATCGATAACCGAAACTACTGGTGTTTTAGAATGTCAGCGTTAGTGTCACCAGGGAGCCTCGCGAGGAGGTGCAATGGTCAGAGGCCAGGAGGATGGAAGTTCTGAGCCGGGGACCTGGGGTGGGGTGGCAAGGGGGTGGCAGGGAACACGGAATGGGCAGCTGAGCCAAGGTGGGGAGAGGAGTGACAGGGCCAGTGAGAGGTCACAGGACAAGCACCAGTTCCTGGGGGGAAATGGCACCATCAAAACACGTGGCGTGGGGGAGATGCAGGGGCTGGAAATAAACCCTGGGAGTGCTGAGCAGATGAGGTCACTTTGGAAAAGCAAGCAGCAGTGGGGAGCTGGTCACAGGTCACACCCTGGGAAAAAGCAATGCTTCAGGAAGAGTCTGAGTGGTAGGGGGAGCACAAAGAAGGTAATGACTGAGACCAAGAAGCTTCGAGAAGATGGACAGCATTAAGACCAGCTGAGACTCCTGCAGGCTGCTGAACACCACGAGCAAACTGAACACACGCGCCCGCTGTGCTCGGTCTGACGCACGCTGCAGACACACCCCTCTCATCTTTTAACTGTTTATTGTATAATATAAAACTACAAAAGTAAGACTGCTCATTTCCATGTACATTGAATCTGTCCAATTGTTTAGATTACAGCCCAAACCTACATGTGAATACAGCCATCCGGGTTCCGATGTAATGTCTGTAGTATTGCATAGAAAAGGCACAGCTCTCAGGTCTGTGGGGGGAAAGGTTACACCTCCTTTTTTGAAAAAAAGCCCTCCTCAAAAAACCATGCACCAAACATGTCACTATGTACATTTTTTTTCCCAAAATCTTGGTTGTTTGCACATATAGACTGCACTTCTCTTCCAAACTTGTTATCCCCAAAAGAAGTCCAACATTGGCTTTGTCTGCAATAGCATTTGATCCTGGTGGTTAATAAATTTAATTTTTCAAAACCATTTCAAATCATTCTGAGAAGCACTGAAAACCACTTGTACATAAGCAGGACGCGCACACCTCACTGCCGTCAAGCGAGCGGCAGTTACAGGAAGTGAACCATTTACAGCCACAACAGGTTAAATATGCTCTTTTCAATATTTTCAGAAAAGGGAGAAAGGTCCAATCGGTAACAGCAAGGTTTTGAAATGAAGACAATTCACACAGAGTAGAATAACAATCGCTGAAAAGTAGAGTCTCTTTTTTTTTTTTTTTTTTTTTTTTTATCTTTTCTTTAAAAAGGCTGCCCCGCGGG